AAGGAATTTAGTTTTTAATAATGCAAGTATGTCATCGTGGTACTAGTACTAGTTAATACAAGTCCTAGCATGAGCACTACAATGTGTAATTACTCATGGGATCAGCGGCATGGCGAGTAGCTACACAAGTAGCCATATTAGAAAAATACTACTGGCCTGATAGCAGGCTGCTGCTGTTGGTGTTCTTGCTGCCGCGGCGATAATGAAGAGTCGGCAGTCCAAGCAACATCTAACTCCATCGTTAATGGACTGGGAGCAAGTGTCACAGGATTTGGGAAGCGATACTGAGCCGACAAAAGATATGAGCAGCTTTTCGACGTTCATGAGGAGCCTTTCCAGGTGCTGGCGTAGCAGTGAGCTGTCCACATCCGCGATCCATACCCGAAGCGGCCCGAATTAAAGACCTGCAGTCCTTGTAAAACTCCGGCTGGCTGTGGACCGTCGAACTGCCACCAGCGATCCTCGAAACATTGACGAAGGTCACATTCTGGGCGACAGCTGCTCTGCGCCTCAAGCCAGCGCAGTGCACACATGTTTCGAGAAGGATTCTAATGACCCTATGACTATGGCCTGATCCTAGGCGAATGCACCTGACGGAGGTGTCCGGGTCTTGTCGTCACGTCCTGCCGCTCGCTCCATCACACATTGGAGTGCGGTCTTAGTCTGTGTTGATGGCCTAGGGCCGGCCTTGCATGAGAGAAAACGTGTCTCCTTCTGAGATCTTGGCACAAAGAGGAGGCGGCTTCCAGAACAAGTAGTTATCATTGATCCTCTTTTTGATTACAAGTACCTGTTGCATTGATGTAAACCCTTCTCCGGAGGCGTCCAAGGCGCACGACCTCGTTCAAGGGATGGAGGGCCTCTGGCGAATCGCATCCAGTGGTCCAATACAGAGGCCCGCTGGGTGCAGCATAGCCAGTCACGACGACGCGTAGCTTCTCGGCTGAAGACCGACATGCAAGAGCTCCAACACAGGTGACGGTTACAGCATGTTGGGTTTATTTGCTATTTACATGATCCGACCCGCAAGTCAATGTGGCTAAAGAGTCGAGTGTCAGGAGCGAGCCATTGAACATCACGGATGACCTTTCCAGGGCATAGAGCACAAATAGTTGTCAGGTAGCCTGTAAACGGGATGCTCGCCTCGCTTTTAAACTCAGAAACCAAACACAAAGACCCAACACCAGGCCGCAACCTGCAGCTGCAACACGACAACTGGCAATACTGAGCTGAGGTGTGTACAACTGTACAAACCGAGGATGCTGTGACGGCTGCAATATGCGTCGCCGTCGTCGTCCCGTCCTTCGCTTCGTTGTCGTCATCGTCGTCGTCGCGACCGTCGCAGGAGCAATGGTAGCAGCACTGCTCATAATAATTGCGGTAGTCGTCGTCGTTGTGTTGTCGTCGCAGTGGTAGCAGTCGTGGTAGTGGCGGTAACAGCAGCGCAGGCCGGGGGGGGGGGGGGGGGGNNGGGGGGGAGGGCGCAACAGTAACAGCAATTTATAACTGAATAAGCACATACCGAGAAAGAAGAAGGTTTCCAGGCGCCGACTTCCGGCCTTTTCAATGTCCTGCTGCAGCTTATCCAAAGATGCATTGTCTGTGCTGCAATGCGATAGGATGTAGTCGTTGCCGCCGAGGCTAACCCAAGCCACTCTGGATCCTTCAGATGGGAGAAGCCCGACAGCCTGAGACACGCTGCAGCTTGCCTCGATTGAGCTCCGCAGAAAGTCAAAGAAAACAAAGTCATGTCAGAGTATAAATAGCCCTGGACAGCATGACAATCAAAATAGCAACAACAATTGTTCGAATCGAATGATCATTAATTACCAAAGTTCGCAAATAATACACTGAATACACCTCAAAACGGTGTTCTCGGAACCAGGGTGACCAGAAAAAGTTCGTCGGCAGGGGGTTGAAAGGTGCAAAGCTTATAGGAGCCTTCTCATGTCTCGGCTCGTAGCGCTACGCAATGTGATCGAAATTGTTGAATTTTCGGCGAGCTACCTCGCCGGCATGCTGGCAGCAAAAGGATTGTGGGGCAGAGGCACAGTCCAGATTGGAAGCCCAATCAGCAGCTGTGGTCCCTGCGAGGCCACGGTTCACCACGAGAGCCAATCCGGCCTCAGCAAGCTGCAAGGATTGAGACGATGCATCAAGCCGCTTCCAAGCCTATGTCCATTCCAAAGACTTCCGTGAAGCGTGCTGCCGTTTACCTGTGTGCCTGATTGCTGGGCAGCTGCTGATCCGGAAGATTGACATCAAATATGAGTCCATCTAAGAATTCTGCGGTTCCGGGTTCCTCCAAGCAAAGATCATGGCCTCTGTACAAGTCGGCAAAACGCAGTATCGGCACGTGTGGCGGACACTACAAGGCGGCCCGAGGCGGCACCCCGCAGAAAAGAGCAGAAAGAGAGCACTGCAGGACCGGCGCGTTTGGCGGGTACCGGGCAGACGAGCTAGGCCAGTCAGAAGCGGGAGGCAGGCTAGGGCAGACCGGGTTCCGGGTTCGCTAATTGAGACTCAAGGGAACAAATCAGTGTTAGCAACGATCTTTGCTCGGGTTACTACGACCACTGTTTGAAGGCAAGGCAAGCTGCTGCTTTGAGCAACAGATGCTACATCCAACCAGGTCTGGTCCCATATGTATATCCCGTAGCACAACCGACCCAAATTCCAAATACTTACATACACAAAATTGTCGGGCCGTGTACAATGCTCATGTTGTGTGAAAGAACTGGGGGAAGGTAATCAGGAGTCGCCCTTGAAAGACGATCTTCCATAGATCTGAATCAAGCCGTCGAGGAGCACAGTGGTCCTTGAGGCTTGTCCCGGCATAGGCCGCCCAGCTGTCTCCCAGGAGAAGGGCCTCTTTACTCCCTTCGACGAGCGGCTTCCTCGGTTGGTCTGGCAATCAACAATCCTTCAGTGTCTTCCCTAGCTTCTTGCTAAGTACTCCTCCTGGAATCGCCAGAAGATCCGGTAGCCAGAACGGCTGAAACGGAAACTGGAAACCAGGCATGACTCGGAAACCGGAACGGCTGAGAACGGCTGATTCGGAAACCAGACGGGTGACTCGCCATCGGTAGATTCCGAAAGCAGACGTGTGGTTCGGAAACCAAGAACGGGTGTAACGCTACCATCGTTCTTGCACGGCTGCTCTTGGTTTTGGATGCAGGCCCGTGGTTTCGGATGCACTGGTAGTATGGGCATTATCACAGTTCGGGCATGGATGCTCTTGCTTCCGGACATTATCATCGGTTTCCCCTGCGCGTCGGTTTTCGATGCGCAGTTCTGGTTCCCGATGTGTGCAAGTCGCCGCTGTGCGACGCTTTCCGAAGCCAAGTTGCTGATGCGCGGCTAGCTTTGTATGCACAGTTTGTAAATCAAGGGCCAGTTGCTGGCTTTTCGCAGTCCCTACGACAGTAAATCCAGAAGGTAAAACTACGCCGACCCTCGCGCTAATTTCCCGGTGTCGGTCCCTTATCAAACCCGGAGCCCCAAGCACACCTTCACCAATCCTGTCCTTGCACCTGGTGTGATACCAGTGACGCAAGTAAATCAGGAGAGCACCGCCGAGCCCGACAACAGTTAAATCGATTGAAGGCCACTCAATGCCCAAGTCGAAAATTTGGATGAGCAAACTCGCTGAGGGATGCAAGAAAGACATACTTGATTGTCAAGTGCAGTGTGCGTACCTAGCAAAGGCATCATGATTTATGATTGGAATCCTGGAAGAGGATTCCCACAAGAAGGGAACCCAAATTCTGCTCGTATTACAACAGTGACGACAGGACAAACAAGTGAAACAAGATTTAACTGCATTGTGCATCCGAAACTGGCTGAAGGTAGATCGAAAAGGGACCATTACATCAAGGCTTATCTTTATTCAGTTTTGTTGGATTCAAACGTCGTCCTATGTCTACTCGCCTGTGATAGTAGTCTCGTCGTCGTCTGGTCGTCGTCGTCGTCGTCGTGTGGTCGTCGTCGTCCTACAAGTGGGAGTGGAAGTCGAAGTGTCAGTGATGGTGGTCGAAGTAGCTGTTGTAGCAAGAATAAAGATGATAACAGTCAGTAGTAGAAGTAGTAATAACGCTAGCTACTAGTACAGTGCTAATCGCAGAGGCAGTGGTAGGGGTGGCGCTATTGATATGCCGTGGATTACGATGAGTGTGCAAGTGATGATAGCAATAATCATGATGGTGATCATTGGACGGCTACCACTGCCACGAGGACTGCCTTGAAGTAACACAAAGGTGTGTGCACACAGAACTTGTATCCAAGGATCTGGGACGCCCAGGACAGCCAAGTAGAAATCAGGCCGAAGCAGATTCGGAACATGGCAAAGTTAGGTTTGCAGCTCCGGGCTTGAGGTTCATGGCTCCGAACCTCATCTGATACGTGTCCTTTCCAGCACCAGCCTGAAAAGACCAGCCATGCCCGAACCTCGCTGAAGCTGACAATCCGAAATCCTGAGCCAGCATCCAGACAAGTCAGACCTGCACGAAGTATTAATTGCTCCTCAACTGCCGTGAAAAGCGTAATTCGACATGCGTTCTTGCGAACTCTGCACCAACAGCTACGGTACCGTTGAGAATGTGTGCGGCTCAAGCAAAGCAGCAAAGCCAATGTCGATTGCCGTGGAGCATCAAGAAATCGCGGTTTGGGGCGGGGTCCTGATTAGTAAATCTGCCTCTGGCAATTGGCCAACATATTCGCCTTAGCGGCGGACACTGGAAGTTTCACCATTCACAGCTTCACTGCTCCTAACAGTGCTTTGCCGCCGTTGCCTTTGGTCAACAAACGAAGAGCCCTGTCCACCCGGAGCCGGCGACCAGGGCACCAAAGGACGAAGTCGACACGAGGTTCTCACTCACCCCGAAGGCTCTACAGCCCTGTACTCTGAACCCTGAAAACGACCCCAGACACGAGAATCTGAAGCATGTCGCTCATTCTTTTTTGTGCAGTGCCCCGCCTCCGTCTTTGGTCGGCCGAGCCGCTCATGGGGAGAGTCCGCGCGAGCGTTTTGCTTTGCGGAAGAACCTGGAAGGAAGACATGATAAAGACGGTGGTGATGAACCAGCGATGAACATAGAACCCATGGACTGAAGAGGAACAAACGTTAAGGTCAGAGCCTCAGACAGGAAGGATGCCAGGCTTGGACAAGGAACGGGCTTCAGGCTGCGGGCAGCGTGCTGCGAACCAGGGCTCAGGCCAACCGTTCTGCGTTTGAGAGAGTCCACCGTAATGCTTGGCGCACCAATCCGTCCGGACGAAGTCTGCCCTGACTGCGGAAGACAGTGAAACTTATTGCAGGTGTCACTGCATGGTACATCGGCACATCGACCTTTGCGCTAGCTCGAAGTCGTTGGCGGCTTCCATGGGTCCTTTCCGGAGCTCCGCCTGGCAAGTGCAAATAACTCAACGCTCCATGAATGCTCGTCGAACCTTCTCTCAGACACTCTCGAACACAGAGAACTGGCCTTGCAAGGTGATGATGTGTGCCTCACGCCCTGCAAAATTCGTATCCTGAAGATTGAGGCCATCTGCAGACCTCGTTGGGATCATTGATGTTCACCCAGCCCGTCCAGCCGTAGATATTGGTGTCCTGCGAACGGCTGAATGATGTGATTCGAGCCCGAACTTGTGGCTTTAACCCCAATGCATTACTCCGGACAAAAGGAGCTGTAAGTTGCGGAGACTTTCCGAGGCTTTATGTGGGCTGCACTCATGGGGTAAAAGTCTATAATCTATAACACTCTGTACTAACCACGAAGCGACCTGAGATCACCTCGAGACTCCCGCCTCGACGATCAAGTACTGACCTGAGCCCGCACAAGAAAATGTTGAGATGCGGGGGATGCATTGGCGATTGGAATGACGACAGGACAGCCAGTCCAAAGCTGCACGCCTACGGTGTCTAAGGCCAGGCAAACCGAATGGACCTCTCTGGCTCTGTCGTGGACTGGGACTGGCACCAACGCTCACATGCTTTGCGTACCACTCCTGAGCGTTCAACTGGAAAATGCTGGCCTTGTGAATAAATCTTCCGACGGCTGGACCTGCTTCTGAGGAAGGCACCATTTCGTGGTACGTGTGCTCGTAGTCGTGATCGGAGTCCTGCAGTTCTGTCTACGATAGGCATCCAAACGTTTATTTGGTGCACTACCCCGGTTTGGCCCGGTTTGGAAGACTACTTTGTTGCTATTGTTTGGACCCCAGGAATCCGGAGGCCAAGCATGCACCATCCTGTTGAAAGAGGGAAGGCTAGGTAAGGCTTGCTGATCAACACGGAAGAACAGGAATGCTTACCGGCTGGCAGAAAAAGCAATAAATTTGGGAATCCAGTCGAGCAGCGCAAAGCTGAGTGCCGGACTGACACCACCATGCAAGGACCTTGTTTGCAAAGCCGCTTGACCTGGGTAGGCGTGTATCGGCGCTGCACCCTTGGCATGACATGTCTTGATCGTTAGCGACTACCGGGCCAGACGACCAACAAACACAAATATTAATATGACGAAAGTATGAGAACCCACACACCGACAACAATGTTACTTTGGACATCCATCCACCCATCCGTCCAACCATCCACAAACGCACATAGACCGACCGCCAGACAGACAGACAGACAGACAGACAGAAAGAGCTGTGGGCTTCCAGACTGCACAGGAACCAATAAGATCTGTGGATAATGGGCTTCCTACAAGGAAGACATCTACATGAAAATCAACACAAAGCCTGTGAATCGAAAATTTGCGAATGAACCCAATCCTAGAAGATCATTTGCAGCATTTCCAGCTCCTCAGCAAAAGGAAAGCCAGCCAAGAGTCTGGCTTTTGCCCTGACCTCTTTGTTCTTGGAGCCACCGGTCACGTAGTTCCTTCTTGGCCGAGAGGCGGCACTTTCAAGTGCCATCTGCTTTCAATGCGATGTCGAGGAACTGCAAAGAGTCGGGAGAGGCGAGTACAAGCGCACCGGGCAAGGTTTGCCAAAAGAGTAGGACGATGAACAAAATGTCCCGGTGAAACGAAGCATGACCCTGCTTTGTTTGTCTGTTGGGACTATGACGACGTCACTAATTTTTTACTGCTACTACTACTGCTGCTAC